TTTAATTTGCATCTCTCAGATGATTATTGACTTTGAGCATTTTCTCATATGTCTCTTGGTCATCTGTATGTCCCCTTTGAGGAAGTGTTAGTTTAGGTCCTTTGCCCATATTTTAATTGGATTGTTTGGTTTCCTTTTGTTAAGTTGTATGAGTTCCTTATACATTTTGGATATTAACCTTTTATCAGATGTATCATTGTCAAATATGTTCTCCCATACAGTGGGCTCCCTTTTCATTTTGTTGGTTTCTTTTGCTGTGCAGAAGAGTTTTATTTTGATGTAGCCCCATTTGTTTATTTTCTACTTAGTTTTCTTGCCCTAGGAGATGTATCTGTAAACATATTGCTATGAGAGATGTCTGAGATTTTGTTGCCTATGGTTTCTTCTAGGATTTTTATAGTTTCCTGAATTACATTTCAGTTGTTATCCATTTTAAGTTATTTCTTGTGTATAGTGTAAGTTGGTGGTCTATTTTTATTTGTTTTTGCATGTATCTGCCCAATTTATCCCATAACATTTATTGAAACGTCTGTCTTGACTCCTTTGTAAGTTCTTGTTTCCTTTGTCAAATATTAAATGTGTGTAATGGCTTGGGTCCATTCCTGGGTTCTATGTTCTGTTCCATTGGTCAATATGCCTGTTCTTTTCCCAGCACCAGGCTGTTTTAATTATGGTGGCTTTGTACTATACCTTGATATTTAGAATTGTGACCCCTAGAACTTTGTTCTTCTTTCTCAAAATTTTGGCAGCTATTAAGGGTGTTTTTGGGTTCCATATAAATTTTTGGAGTGTTTGTTCTAACTCTTTGAAATGTGCTGTTGCTATTTTAATGGGGATTGCATTGAGTCTGTAGATTGACTTTGGTAGTATGGACATTTTAATGATGTTAATTCTACCAATTCATGAGCATGGTATATTACTCCATTTGTTTATGTCCTCCTCTATCTCTTTTGTCAACCACTTGTAGTTTTCTCAATACAAGAATTTTAGCTCCTTGGTTAAGTTTATTACTAAGTATCTTAATTTTTTGTGGCAATGGTAAATGACATTGCTGGTCTAGTTTCTCTTTCTCAGAATTCATTATTGATGTATAAAAATACCATTGATTTTTTGGTGTTAATTTTGTATCATGCTATATTGCCAAATTCATTTATTATATCTAGTAGATTTTTGGTGGAGTCTTTGGGATTATGTCATCTGTAAATAATGACAATTTTACTTCCTCCTTTCCAATTCGGTGCCTTTTATTTTTTCTCTTGTCTGATCAATGTGACTAGGACTTCCATTACTATATTGAATAAGAGTGGTAAAAACCAACATCCTTGTCTTGTTCCTGTTCTTAGGGGAAATGCTGTTACATTTTTCCCATTGGTTGTAGGTTTTTCATATATGGTCTTTATTATATTGAAGTATGATCCCTCTATTCTCACTCTGCTGAGAGTTTTTATCAAAAAATGGGTATTGAATTTTGTTAAGTGCTTTGTGTCTATTGATATGATCATGTGATTTTTGTCTTTCAATTTGTTTCTGTGAATTATCACGCTTATTGATTTGTGAATATTGTACCAGCTTTGCATCCAGGGAACAAATATCACTTGGTCATGATGTGTGATCTCTTTAACATATTGGGGGATCTGATTTGCTAATATTTTATAGAGGGTTTTAGTATCCATGTATTTTTATCAAGGGTACTAGTCTGTAATTCTCATTCTTTGTAGTGTCTTTATATGGTTTTGGAATTAGGATAATGCTTACCTCATAAAGAACAGCTTGGGTGTGTTCCTCCCTCTTTGATTTTTTGGAATAGTTTGAGGAGTATAGGTGATAGTTCTTTAAATGTTTGGTAAAACTCCCCTGTGAAGATATCTGATCCAGGGCTTTTGTTTGCTGGGAGTTTTTATTTTTTATTTTTATTACTGCAACTATTTTCTCATTTGTTACTGGCTTATTCATGCTTTCTGATTCTTCCTGATTCCGTTTTGGGAGATTGTGTTTTTCTAGGAATTTGTCCATTTCCTTATTCATAGTGTTTTCTTATAATCCTTTGTATTTCTGTGGTGTCAGTTGATACCTCTCCACTTTCATTTCTGATGTTATTTATTTGGGGTCATTCTTTATCTTTCTTGATGAGTCTGGCTAACAGTTCATCATTTTTATTTATCTATTCAAAGAACAAGCTCTTGGTTTCACCAAGTCCTAATCATGGTTGGAGGAGGTATGTGTAGACAGAGCTCCTCCCATGAGGAACCAATCCCCACAGGACATTCTCCTCATTGTGAGCCCACCTTTGAGTGACATGGGCCACCTGGATCAGCTCTTGGTTTTGATACCTGAATGTCTACTTCCTGGATCAGCGTGTCTCCAAAATGCTGCCCCTAGTGAGGTAATAAATCCATCCCTGCCCCAACCTCTTACAATTCAGATATCCTGAAGCCATAGAAATATCCCTGTGTGTGGGGTTCTCATGTCTCATTGAGTTGGGTAAATGCTCTGATAGAGAAGGATATCCATAGTCACCTCAGCAATCGTGTCCAACTTTCAGTTTGGATTGCTTGTATGAAGGGAGGAAGCCCCAGGCTTCAGAGGAAATCCCTGCCCAGCTCCCTTGGCACCTGCTCCTGGGGCAGCAGCCATTGCTCCTGGGCCCTGAGCTTCCCCTGCTGCTCAGCACTGGCTCTTTTGGGGAGCATCCTGTCTGGGCTCACAGGGCATTGACTTCTCAGTGTCTCTTGTCCAGTGGTGAAGGCTGTGCCCTGATGTCTGATTGCTACATCAGGGACACCGTGTGGTTTTGACATCTCTGGACAGAGTGAACTGGCCTTACTGAGCCCCAATGGCTCTGCAAGGAGACCCAAACCAGGGCTTTATGAGGGCAGCTGGAGCCCTTCCCTGGAGCTGCCAGATGCATAAACACAGCCCACCGTCCCCTCATCCAGAAGCTCCTGGGGGTTCTTGGGCCTCTTATGTCCTCAGGTTCCTCTCCTTAAAGGCCCCATCTACACATCCCAGTGTGTTGCCAATTCTCACTGCACTTCTATTTGATAAATTACACACACACACACACACACACACACACACACACACACACACTGATGATTTTCTTTGCTATGAAATACACACTTGCCTCTCTTCCCTGTACATAGCACATGAGCACATGGGAAGGGAACACATGTGGATTCTGGGTCTGGGTGTGAATTTCTCTGGAAGCCAATCAAATGCACCCATGATAAAAACAGAGACTTTGAAGAGTAGGCACTCGTGTGTCCATGTTCTTGCAGGTCCTGCACATGCAGATGCAGGTGGAAAAGGTCAGGCTTGCTCCAGGGATAGTCTGAGGTGAGGCTGGGTCACCCTTTGACTTCAGGGGTGCATTACTGTTAGTGCCCTGGGCCTGCAGGTGACCATGCAGGGGCTACCATTGTCTCAGTACAGCTCCAGGGAACAGGCCTCACTGGGGAGCACCTGCCTCCCAGGAGCACAGCCCAGGCAAGACAGCAGAGACAGGCTCGCACTCTGTCCCTCCTCTCTAATCACTTCTCCTAGCAGAGCAGCCCCTCCCACAGGGAGCAGCTCAGGAAGGTCTCCCAGGTCCTGGATCAGAGAGGCTCTGAGACACTGGACTCATCTTCTCCCAGAGGGACACGGGCACTGACTCTGGACCAGCAGGCGCTCTGACATGGATGTGGACTCGGACCTGCTCCTGGTCACAAAGAGTCATTCTGGGACCTGTCCTCCCAGCATCTACCTGAGACCCTGGGAGGAAGGGAATCTGGAGGCTGACTATCTGGGAAGGAGACTGTGAGCTCATGATGGGCTAAAACTACAGAAGGAGGGAGGATCAAGGTGCAGAGCAGTTGTATCTTTTTAAAAATCATTTAACTGATATTTACCTAATAATGAGATATCAGAAGAAAGGGCTTTTGAACCCCCCTGAAGAGACCTGATCATGTGTTTTAACAATAAAGGCCATCATGAAACTTCAATTATTCCCTGAGTTCACACCTTACAGCTCACGGAGCAATTCAAAATTCACACCTTGGAGAACCGCCCCAGGGCAGGACGTGTAACTCAGGATGCTCAGAACCCTCTAGAACCTGCAATTCTGGAAGCAGAAGCTGACCCCTGACCTTCTGTACAAGGGGAGGATCAGACAGTGGAAACTTCACTCAGTGTGAGAACCAGACCCCACTCTCACTCCTGCTTTGTGCCTATTGACTTGCTGATCATCATTGGTTGCTGTCCACTCTGAATGCATGAGTCCCTCCCTTTTCCTTATTATTGCAATTGTTAGGTGGACACAGGAGTCTGACCTCAGCTTTGGTACTGACGTCTGGCAGCTTTCAAGCCTTGCCCTCCCTCATCCACTTCTGCCCACATCTGGAAACGCAGGTGAGGAAGCCTGGCGGTCCGTCCTCTGCCCCTGGAGGGGGTCCATTCACTCCAGCCCCTGCCCAGCACAGGACCACCATCATTTCTCACTCCCTGACATAGCTCACCCAGAGCCAGTCCCCCTCCCGGCTTCCTAAGGCCATTGGACCTGCTGGAGAGGTCTCCCTGCCTCCTGAGTCCAAGGTTATGTCAGAGCTCCTGGTCATCTCATCCCCTGGTGTGTGGTCATCCTCAGACTCAGCCTCTGAAGCTGCTGTGGGCGGGACCCTGCTGTCCTTGAACAGGGCCTGTTGCCATCATCTCTGCGTGCAGGGGGCTGGACAATGGCCACCCCGCAGCCTCTCTTCTCCATCAGGACTGACCAGCTCCTTGCTGCTGAGCTGTCTGTGCCCCGAACATGACTCTGGAGAAGGTCCTGGAGAAAATTTCAGTTGAATAGGAAACCCAGCCTCCAACAGGATCCAGGGCTGAACTTGCTCCTCCTCCGGCTCCTGGTTTGGATGCTCTGATCTGTGGGTCCTCAGCGCCCCCTGGTGTCTAGAGCTCCCCCTGCAGCCCAACCCTACTCCTCCCCTAAGGGAGTTTGTGTCAGGGCTCACACTGATTTCCCCTCACTGTGTGTCTCTTGCACAGTAATACACGGCTGTGTCCTCAGTTCTCAGGCTGTTCATTTGCAGATACAGTGTGTTCTTGGCGTTGTCTCTGGAGACGGTGAGCCGACCCTTCACAGACTCTGCATAGTATGTGGTACCACCAGTACTACTAACACCAGTGACCCACTCCAGCCCCTTCCCTGGAACCTGGTGGACCCAGTTCATGCCATAGCTACTGAAGGTGAAACCAGAGGCTTCACAGAAGAGTCTCAGAGACGCCCCAGGTTGTACCAAGCCTCCTCCAGACTCCACCAGCTGGACTTCACAGTGGACATCTGCAAACACAAAGATGTCCTAGTCAGGAAACTCTCACACGATCACTGTTTCTCTCACTCATGCCCACTCACATACTCAGTGTTTCTTGTTCTCCATAAATTACCTCTCAAAATAGCAACAAGGAAAACCCAGCTGAGCCCCAACCCCATGGTGAGTGGTCTGTGTTCAGTCCTGATCAGGGAATGGAAACAACTGGGAATCCAGGCTGGGCTCCTGTCCCAGAGCCGCAGGGCCAGAGCTGGGCTGGTTTTTATAAGCAGAGGAGTTCTATTTGAATGTCTTCCTACTATGTAGGGAGCTCTGGGGTTGGAGACCTACAGGGAGAGCAATACCTCTTTGCAGGTGAAAGTGTCCTGAGGGAGAATCATGTCATGAAGACATTTCAATAGCTAAATACAGAATCTTAAGGTGGTTTGGGAATGTCCATGGGACCACATCTGGTGACATTGAGCCCTGCTTCTGGACTGAGCCTTCTCCACTGGCCTCCAGTGCTCTCCTGAACCAACTCCAGGGCAGAGCAGAACCTGCCCCGTGAGGGTGCAGAACCCTGGTATGAGATGAGAGCATGGATGAGTGTCTGTGCTCTGGTGTTACCCCCCTCTTCAGGGCTTGATTCCCGTGTGGTCTCATAGTCCTCACTAGCATGGTGAAGGTCGTGCCTCACCTGGGAGGTGGTCCCCCATCACCTGAGGGGAGTCAAGTTCCCCCAGGTCTGTCACATGCACTTGAGGTCTGTGTTGGGCTCAGGACCACTTTTGTGACCCCCACAGCCCCTGTCTGTCAACTCTGTTTTCATGGGCCTGAGACCCTCTTCATCCCTGATGTGCATGGACATCTCCATGTGGGTGTTAGGAGGTCAGCGGTAACTGTCATGGCTGCAGCTGACCCTACGGTCAGATGTGGCATCTGTCATCGTCCTCCATGTTCACCTGGACCCACTAAGTCTGTCCAATGCTCTAGCTGGTAGACTGCTGTGTGTGGCTGTTTGTTGGGAAGACCCAGGTTCAGAGCCCCCAGGGGCCATGTCCCTGCATCACCTGACTTTCATCAGGCATTTGAATGACACAATTTTCCTGCTCATGTTGAATCCAATAGAGACCAGAGAAGACCCTGCTCGGGCCAGACTGACCCTCTCTGTGCCTGTTGGGAGCTGCCACCATATCCCCAAAGTAACAGCAGTCACATGTCCCCACCTTCACAGAAACACTTTCTTCTGGTTTATCAATTTTGTTTATCCTTTCAAATAACCAGCTCTTGGTTTTAAGTGATTTTTATATTGCTTTTTTTAGTATCTACTTCTACTTACTCTGTGCTTTTCTTGTTGTTCTCTTTCTAGTTCTTTAAGTTGTTGGGTTAAATTGTTTATTGCTGATTTTTCTTTTCTTTCTTTTTTTTTTTTGGGGGGGGGGTGTTGTTTGTTTGTTTGTTTTTAGGTATGTCTATAGTGCTATGAAGTTCCCTCTCAGGACTGCTTTTGCTGTGTCCCAGAGATTTTGGATTGTTGTGCGTTCATTTTCATTCGTTTCCAGGATTTTTTTTCTTTCTTTCTTGATGTCGTTGGTAACCCATTCATTATTTAATAACATGATATTTAGCCTCAATGTGTTTGAATGTTTTGGGGTGTTTTTACTATAGTTGATTTCTAATTTTATTCCACAGTGATCTGAGAAGATGCTTGCTATGATTTCATTCTTCTTGAACTTGTAGAGACTTGTTTTGTGTCCTAACATGTGGTCTGTCTTTGTGACTGCTCCATGTGCATTTGAGAAGAATGCATATTCTGCTGCATTGGGGTGAAATGTTCTATAAATGTCAATTAAATCCATGTGATCCAGTGTGTAATTTAGAGTCTTGGTCTCCTTGTCTGTAAGATCTAGCGAGTGAAGTGAGTGGGGTGTTAATGCCCCCTACTATGACTGTATTGTTGTTGATCTCTCCATTAAAGTCTTCTACACGTTTTTGGTTTTTTTAAATGTATTTAGGTGCTTCTATTTTGGGTTCACATATGTTTACCAGGGTTATATCCTCTTGTTGGATCAATCCCTTTAGTACTATGTAGTGGGCTTTGTTGTTTCTTGTAGGGCCTTCATTTTGAAGTCTATTTAGTCAGATGTGAGTATTGCTACTCCACCTTTTTTTTCTATTCCATTTGCATGGAAAAAAATTTCCATCCCTTCACTCTCATCCTGTGTGTGTCTTTTGTTTTGAGATGGGTCTCTTGTAGACAGAATATAGTTGGGTCATGTTTTTGTATTCATTCAGCTACCCTATGCCTTTTGATTGGAGCATTTAATCCATTTACATTTAGGGTTATTATTGAGAGGTGCTTATTTATTGCCATTATAATACTGTATGGCAAGGTTTCTCCTTCTGGGTCTTGTTCTCATTAGCACAAACCCTTTAGCATTTCTTGTAATGCTGGTTTGGTGGTGATGTATTTGTCTGGGAAGCTCTTTATTTGACCCTTTATTTTGAATGATAGCCTTGTTGGATATAGTAATATTGGTTTCAGATCCTTTCTTTCCATTACCTTGGGTACTGCATGCCATTCCCTTATGGCCAGTAGAATTTCTGATGAGAAATCAGGTGTCAGCCTTATGGGAGCTCCTTTGTAGGTAACAGTTTTCTTTTATCTTGCTGCCTTTAAGGTTCTCTCTTTGTCGTTTAATTATGATGTGTCTGGGCATGGGCCTGTTTGGGTTCTTCTTGTTTGGGGTTCTCTGTGCCTCCTGAACTTGTGTAACTTTTTCCTTTACCAGGTTAGTTAAGTTTTTTGTCATTATTTCTTCAAACACATTCTCTATGTCTTTCTCCCTTTCTGCCTCTTCTGGAACACCTGCTATTCTAATATTATTACATTTCACATTGTCCCACAGCTCCCTTAAGCTGTCCTCCTGTTTTATAATTTTTTTTTCTTTTTGATTCTCTGATTAGTGATATTTTCAACTCTGTGTTATAATTCACTGATCTGATCCTCAGCTTCCCCTAATCTGCTGTGTATTCCTTCCAATGTGTTCTTTATTTGTGTTATATCATTCTTTATCTCAGACTGTTATTTTTTTCATGTTCTTTTTTCATAGTTACTGTATCTTTTTTCATGCTGTTGAGAATTTTTACCATCATTACTCTGTTTCAGGTAAATTTATTATCTCTGTGTCATTTATCTCTTATTCTGGAGGATTCACTTTTTCTTTTATTGGGAGTTGTTTCTTTGTCTCCTCTTTTTTTGCTGTATGTTTGGGTTTAAGAGTATGTATTAGGTAGATCCTCTACATTTTCAATCTCTAGTTCAGGACAATGTACTAGATATAATGCAGGTTTTTTCAATAAGCAGTGTTACACATATGTTGATATATATGCAATTTGATATGTATGCTATTTCGTTGTATTGACAGCAAGCTTCAAAACTTCATATGTCAAATTTGCTGAAGGTGTTAACATCATAGATATTTTTATGCTTAAAAATGTTGAATTTCATGCCAAAAAATAGCATTTGTGGGAAGTTTCAATTCATTACTTTATTTTGAAGAAAAGTGCTGCTGAAAGTTATTGTATACTTTGGGAAGGTTATGGTGGACATGCTCCATCTCAAGATACTTGTGAACACTGTTTTCAACACTTTAAAAGTGATGATTTCTTTGTGAAAGACAAAGATCGCCCAGGTCAATGGAAAAAGTTTGAAGACCAACAATTACAAGTGTTATTGGATGAAGATGTGTGTCAAACTCAAAAACAACTTGCAGAAATATTAAATGTTGTTCAGCAAACAATTTCTGATTATTTACAAGCAATGGGAAAGATTTTAAAGGAAGGAAAATGGGTTCCACATCAATTGAACGAAAGGCAAATGGAAAACGAAAAAGTCATCAGTAAAATGTTGTAACAATGGGACGAAAGAAAGTCTTGTTTGCATTGAGTTGTGACTGGCGATGAAAAGTGGATTTATTTTGAGAATCCCAAATGCACAAAATCATTGGTTGATCCAGGTCAACCATCAACATTGACTGCAAGGCCAAATCACTCCAGAAAGAAGACAATGCTCTGCGTTTGGTCTGATCAGGGAGGTGTGGTATATTATGAACTTCTAAAACCAGGTGAAACCATCAATACTGATGGCTACCAACAACAAATACAGACAGTTCTCAAGTTACTTCAGACTTGACATATGTCGTTTCATGGTTACGTTGCCATCTTCCATTTATTTATATATAAAAAAAAAAGTTCCTTCATTCTGACATATGTATATATATGTTTTATGTTTTTTATTATTTACTGTATTTGCCACAAGTAAAGGTCAGGAATTGTTATCTTTCTTTCTTTCTTTCTCTTTCTTTCTTTCTTTCTTTCTTTCTTTCTTTCTTTTTTTCTTTCTTCTTTCTTTCTTTCTTTTTTTTTATTGTTTCACTTCATTACTGCTGTATATGTGCTCCATGTGAGTGACATAGGTGCTTATGTAGGTGGGTTTCAACTTACAACAAAAATCATGTTATGTTGCACCATAGGAACCGATGTCTGACATGACACGAGGACCTACTGTATCAATTTGAACCACCCTTTGATCATAAAACGATGCAAATGGGCCAAAAGACATGGAAAAGTAATTTTGCTTCATGATAACGCACCATCACACACTTCAAAAGCACTTAAAGACACATTAAAATATCTTGCCTGGGCAGTATTAACCCACTCACCATATTCACCAGACCTTGCTGCTACAGATTACCACTTTTTCTGATAGATGGCACCAGCACTTTCTGAGCAGCACTTCAAATCATATGAAGAAGTAGAAAATTGGGTCTCGGAATGGTTTGTCTCAAAACAAGAAAAGTTCTATTGGGTCGGTATCCACAAATTACCTGAAAGATGGGGGAAATGTGTAGCTAGTGATGGACATTACTTTGAATAAAGCACTTTTGATGTTTCTCTTGAAATTATCGTGTATTCTTTGATTACAAAATCCACATTAGTATACGGTACACCTGGCAAAGACTGTTTCTGACTAATTAGATCAGGCAAAGACTCATAGCCTCCAGAGACTGCCTCTGTCTACAGACTGAAAGGATTTTGACTTGAATTGCCCCCCACCCCCCAGGCAATCAACTTCAGGTATGGCAAGAGTTGTTTTTGTTTTTGTTTTTGAGCAGGGAGA